CACGGAGTAATAAAATGGTAAACTAGGGTAAGTGCTTTTTTTTCAGGGAAACATTTCACCTAATACCTTAGAATTAATGGAAGATGGTAAAGTTTGCACATACATTTTTCATTGACAAAAATTAGTGCTACTTCTGATAATACGTCTCTTCCTCCAGTTTCAAGATATTTTCGGAGAACTGCGCAAACAGCCTCGAAAAAATGTACTTATTCCAGTTTACGACTTGAAATGTGCAAAGTTATCTACTCCCAGTTCCGGGATGAATTGAAATACTATGGGTAAATAAGAAAAACTAAATATTTCTTGAAATAACAAAGCTGATCGATTAATTCACCTACAACGGACGGGAATAATCTGAGTCGAGTACTTTATTTTCGTGTTGTTGAGTACAATTTGGCACCTTTGCTTCGCAAACGACATACCAATGTCCATTCGACGTTAGATTATGAAAGATTAACTATTTTTCAAAGGCCCGTTAAAAATACGAAGAACAACGGACGCTGTATAACATTTGAGAAAAGTGAAGAGAATTCAAATGCGAAAAATAATCGGCAGATACCACTTCTCCTTGAAGATTGATTGAATGTTTGCTTCAAGGTTCTACAGTAAAAGACCCTTTGGCAGTAACAATTAACAGTCGTAACAATAAACATCTTCTTTAAAAATTTTCCATAATTTTGGAACTCTCGTGATTCAACCGGTGATCACTAACTCAAGGACAAATCTTTTCTTGAACGATTGACAGAAGGTACTTTATCAGTAATACAGTCCTATTTTGATATTCAGATATAGAATTCCAACCATCAGTGAAATTCCAATCCGAAATTTCTCGAGAATACAAGCAAACAAATCCGAATAGATGATCTATTTTTGGTAGCCGAGTGTAAACGATGATCAATGACAAATTGAAGGTGTAGATCTGACAAGACAATAATTATAATTGAAAAAAGAAGATCCAAGGATGCACTTATTAAAAAAAAATTGCATCGTGCAAGTGGGCGTTGTTCTTCCCAACGGTATCATAAACTAAACCGACATCGAAGGTCATACACTTAGCCGTTGCAATTGCATACATCGACTCCTGTATATTGATAAAATATTGATAAGCTGCCATGTCAACCATCAGACTCACATAAACCTACACTAGATAAGATCGTAATAAAAACAAGGTTAATGAAACATTCCTAACATTTAACTATTTTTACACAAAATAGTAAGAACATTTGAAGGACATCGGGTATTCCCTTCCAGCTATCCACTGCGCAAATCGATAGAGCACATAAAAATGGCGGTAAAAGCGAACAAACAAAACTCCAGATGACCACTTCTTTGTCTCAACATTTCAAAAACCGTGAGTTTTCTCTCTAACGATAAAAAAAAAACTTACGCAGAACAGGAAATTGAAGATGAAGAGGATAATCCTCACAAAGCCAATGGCGCACGACATGTTCGAAATTCAAATTTCCAGGTGGAAATATTTGTTGCACGATTGTTATTGGTTAAAAAACACTGCAATGAACAATTGCTAAGGGGATGTAGACCGTTGTGAGCCGGTTTTAACACTGAGTCAGGGACTGAACAGCATCTTTTTTCGAACGCACTATCCGTCCCCTCTCTGTTTCTTCGTTGGTTAGATTGCGTCATCGTTCCAACGATTTATTTTACTCCTTCTTGGCTAGACTCCCGGACATGTGTATGTAGCACGTTTCAAAGTTTTGTGTGAACGCATTTTGACCTTGAGGATCATTGTGTTGGTGGATGCATCGGTTATTCTCGTGTTGAGATGGAAAAGTCACTAGGTTTCGATTTCCACGTTTTCTTTTAAGGTTGTTTTACCTATATTCCCCAAGATATAATAATTACTTCAAATTTTTACAGAATGTTTTTGAAACGATCGCACATACCTGTAGAAAATTTGAGATTCATTTACAATACCGTTTTGATGTTATAAATTATTCAAGTTTTCAATTAACACGACCTCTTATGGAGAAAATCAAAATTTCTGTAAATGTAAGCCAAAATATAAAATTTTGTTGCAATTTCGAAAATTTATCATTGTGATGTAAAATGATTGGCAAAATGTCATGACGGCTGACTCAATTTTTTTTAAATTAATTTATTTAGAGAATATAAGGATATATTACTTCAACTAATTAACGCATAAAAATATTCATTGAAAATTTATTGATGAATATAATGAATTATACAAAGGGTCATAGACTTTTCTTTTTACTATATGTGCAGAACATCCTTAAGGGTATACTAGTGGCATTCAATTTTCAAGTTTTATCAGCATTCAATGACTAACAAAATCCCGTTGTTGTGCAACTATTTGTTTATGTAGTTTACTTTATACTTTTCGGAGAATTTATTGAAAATGATAAGGATTTATGAGAAATTTAGCAGATAATCGCACCCGGAAGATGAAAATCTAGAAGAGCATATGTTTGAGGGTTCGATTTTCCTAAAAAAAACCCACTCAATTCTTTAACAAATTTTTCTAAAGTTAATTAATAATTGCGAAAAAGATTAGTACAAAATTTCGCAGGAAAATATTCTTTAGTACCGCAGATATCACCGAAAGACCACGCGAAGAGATTAGTTAATTTATCTCTTTTCATTTCGTGATTATAGAATTAATTAGATATGATAGCAATGGACTTGAGTCTGGGTTAAATCTGGGGACATGAGAAAAACTCAGAGAAAAATCAGAAACCCTGGGTTTAATTCGTCAGGAAAATTATCGATTCCCATCTTTAATTATTTATAGTCGTTTCAACAAAGTTTGACGGATCATCTGGATATAAAATCTTTTTAATTTATATCTCTAGTGGCATTTCTAGAAGTTTATCCCAACGATAGATTATCCAATTTTTGTACATAAACTAAACTCTTCGGTCATAAAATGAGTAATCATCAGATCCTACTTTCATTCATTTTTTGCTTATTGTCTATTCGAAAAACCTATTTTATTACTTTTGATTTTGATTCGTTGACTTTCGTCACGGATATCTTCGATAATTTCTTTCCAAATCTTTCGAAATTTTACCGTTACGACTTTATCACTAATTTAATCACTTACGTGATAAACCGACGGTCAGAGTCAATTTTGAGGAAACTCCTCAGTCACTATTGAAAATTTTGCAAAGAGGAAAAAACATTAAAAAATCCACGACTTGAAATATTCACTATTCCACCAAGAAGTTTCAATACCAATTTTTTGTCCGATTTATTAATGCTACCCGCATTTTTTATTCGATAATATTAAAAAACAAAAGTGAAAGCTGTGCTCAAACAATATGGAATCCTCTGATAAATCAGTGATAAAATTGACTATTTTTTAAAAAATATCCCCAGTTATGTGGTGACGTAGCGTCCATTGCACTTTCGTTTTATCCCGGAAGTGAATAAAAAAATGAAGATTTCACTCTTATTTATCCTGGTGGCTCAATTTTCGACGGGGTCAATCGATTCACATATTTTTATTTCATCATTTTGTACATTTTGCAAGAATTTCCCTGAGTCTCCGAACTGGCAAATTTTTTGCTTCACTGCAAAACTTAGCAAGAGTGAACACTTCAAAATTTAGTGCAAGTTCCATCACAATGTGATTTTAATTCTCAATCATGTGAGTTTCAATTAAACCTTAATTGAATCCATTAAGTTGGAATTTTTCTAGTCATCAATTTTTCATTAGAAGCTTAAATTTTCAATTACACCGTCAAAATTAAATATCGATAAAAATTAATTACGTAAAACTCTATTTTTTAACAGATTCAGTTTATTCTATGAACATCCAACAAGAATTATATCCTCAAATAATTCAATTTCAAAGAAATTATTCAATTCGAGAAGAATTTTCTATGACTCCGTCAGTTAAAAAAATTTCTAGTCTTTTCAGTTTAAAATTTACAGGTAATTTTATAACAATGAATATTTACTCTGCAAACTATATTAATTCAAATTTCCAGTAATCAATTCCGGTCGAAAAGTCAAATCTATCATCGAAATATAATTCATACTTCCCATTATATTACAGTAAGAAAAAAAAAGAATGCCTATCAACTCATTAATTTTGAAGACACTCGTTAATCAACTGATAAATGATTTCCTAAAATTTTCCCGAGTGGAAAAATAATTAATCGAATTCCTTCCGCTTCACGCGAAATACTGCATTCCCCGTAAATTCCTGTTTTCCTTTTTACATAGAAATTCCCAATGTCATCCGATCCACCTAAGAAATTTTTAGTACAATTTTATTTATTTTTCTAGTTTATTTAATTTTTTTTCCGGGCTGTATATTTTTTTTTAACGTGTGCGATCCGAGTAGGTGTTTTTTATGATTCGAAAAACGTTCGATGCAGCGCAGTGATGACGTAAGAATATGTTTCAAACCGGGACAATGCATTCCTTATGTATATATACTCTTTCCCTCTCTGATAAGAAAGAGAGAAAAGTCAAACACCGGCCTGAGGTACGTTAGAAAGAAGCAACAGGCCCTGCCCTTCAATACTATGACGCCATCGAATAATTCATCTACTACGCAATTCATTCATAAATTAATTAATAAATATAGTACTTCTTTTTCAATTTTCATAAACGAAAAATAATAGAGAGATGAATCACATAGAAATGAAATTTCAATCAAAATTAAAAATTCCATAATTGTTTCAGGTTTTTCACAAGAATGTTTACAATATATTGAATACCTCGACCTAAAATAATATGTTTTTAAATTTTATTCTTGTTCAATGACTCACCAACTTTTATAGTTCAACGACTACTTTTCTACATTTTTTTCTGGTGTTTTATGAGTTTTAAAATATTTTTGACACAATGAAGAAAGGTGAATGCACAATACTGAGAAAAATAAAAAATGTATATTCTGTCTCGATCTGATCTGAAGAAAACATAAACAATGATGGAATACGAGAAATACATTCTTGGAGTATAGTCTCTACTTTTTCATGTGCTACATTGTTTATCTATTTATTCAGATATTTATTCAGATTCGACAGAAAGTGTTTCCATTACTTACCACAAAAATCAAGTTGAAAATAAAGAGAAGATATTTCATACAACTGTATCCACAATTCATTATGAATTTGTATTAATTCACTGTATAAATATTAATAGGGTTTATTTACGAATAAATAAAAATTTTTTGAAATACGTTTATCGCTGGAATCACACGATGTGGCACTCCTCACAGTGCAAATTGTACTGTCGAGGTCTTTGAGTCCTTTAGGAAAGTCCACATAAAACCCCACCACGATACCTCACGGGTGTGACTCTTACCTTCGCTTTATCTTGTACAAATAATTAAAAAAGAGATATCTCCGAATTTACCCAGAACATCGTTTTTTAATCAATCATAAACTACTTTAAAGAGCCCACCTATTGAGACTGCCTAAAAAAAATGATTTTTGAAAAATTTTCAAACAAAAATCACATGTTTTTTCATTTTCACTATATATTTGTTCGTGAATAATGAATACATAATAAACTTTTAAAAAAAAATTATGTTTTCTCCTTTGCAGGGCCTAATATATATATATAAAAAAAAGAAATTGATGAAGTAGGTGTTGTGTATGCATGACCCAGAATTGTGAAAAAAAAATTGAAATTCAAGGAACCGGCAATCTTAACAAAAAAATTATCATTTTGTTTAAAAATCTGATAGTTTTTTAATCATGGTAAAATTACAGTTTGCATACCATCGAAAAACTAAAAAGAAGATTTTGAAAAGAAATTTGAAAAATCTAGTTTTAAGAAAAAAGAATTTTTATTCTCAAATAATATGATTAAAAGATTGATGTCATTGTTATAGATATTAATATTGATGTTAAGCTGCATAAAAAAACAACGTGACATACGCCCTTGATATTTTAATATATTATATATAAAGATATAGACGATGGAAGTATAAAAAAAAAATTTTTATAGTTCCACACTAGATGCGCTCCTCAATATGAAAAAGACACTTTGAGGCCATTCGATAGTTGTAATAAAATTGAAAAAAAATCTTCCAACGCTTTCCATGAATAATCATTTCAGCTATCGGCGGTATATTACCATACTAATTAATTCAATGCATTGTTAAATATCTTGTTGATAAATATGATCTTGTAATGAGCCTAGAGTTCTATTACTAATTCTTTTTAGAATCATTTGAAAGTGAAGATGGCAGATGAAATAAACAGAATTATTTTGTAACATCTTTTCCAATAGACTGAATGGAATTTTTTATTCCGAGTTTTATTGGATGAGTAATAGTTGTGTCATTGAGTTCATAACGTAGATTAGTCTTTCCGAGGAATTCCCCTGTGGCGTCATTAACAAATTATATGTTGTTACGATGATTCACGCGCGATTCATTTATTTGTTAATCAATGCAATATTGAGTCTTTCACTTTTAAAAGGTTGCAAACTTGATTAAGTCACTGATGTTTGTCGATGGAATAAAATTCTTCTATTTTTTTTCTGCTTCCTCCTCAGTCTCGTGTAGAATAGAAATATCAGAATCACCAGAATCTGAAAAGTAGAAGAGTCAATGAAGAGTAAATGGCAAACTAACAAATCTTTTCTGCTTCAGGCGAAGAGGAAAAAGAATCTCAGAAAAATTCGTTATCCATTGTACAGTAATGTTCAAGCTTCGGAACAAATTTGTTCGCAATAATACGAAATCTCGTAATATTAATAATGATCACCTGATTTCAAAGACTTTTTCCTTTAATTACAACTTTGATTCATCCATTTGGAAAATGATAATCCTTTCCAAAAAAATCCAGGTATACGGAAATAATTTTTAATTCTAAATATTTAATCACCAATTATTCATAATGTTACTATATGCATTATAATTATTTAATTATAATCATTTTAATCCCATTTTTTAATTAATTTTTTACAAATTTTATTAATCGAATCATGCATCTCCGTTTCTGTTTTTTGATGATATTCGAAAAATTGATAAATGAAAAAAAAATTGAAAAGGTCGTGCTGTATTTCCTCTGGTAATTTTTCCTGATGTTTTAAAAATGTTTTAAATCAGAAAAGAAAAATGATCATTTTATTTTCCTTTCAGAAAAATTGCAAATTCTCTAAAGTTTCGAGAATTGCCAATCAGCTCAATGGATGTGTTCAATTTTTCCGATCAATCTGTTCCATTACTCTTATCAATTCATTACCTGGAACGTCACGGAGCTCAATGCCAGCAAAAAAACGTGAATCAAAATCGATTGATATCGATTGATTGTCAAGTGCCTACACTCAGTGCCATAAACTTCCTCGCAGCTGATTCTCGTTGTATTTTCGTGTCTCTCAAAGTCGCAGCAGAGCCACAGCGTAATTTCACCCTGTGAAATCTCCTGAGAGGTGCAACAATTCACCTAAAATCATCAAAATCCAAATAATAAAAATAACAATGAGACGATAAAAAGTAATTGTCTTGTTCGACCTGTACATACAATACATACGCATGAGATAACGACTGATTCAGAATCTATTTTTAGACATGTTATAATGGCACGTCTGCATCGACTCATAGGTACGTTAATTTGATTATTACCTTTATTTCCGTATGATTAAATGTCGGGTCTGGAGGTGGAAAACGTGGCGAGGACTTTAAAGAGTCCTCCAGGCTTGTTGATAACATCGTGTTCAACTCATGGTGTTTTACCATCGCTAGGACACCAGCAAATGACTCTACGCTCGATAGAACAACTACCGAAAACGTGAACTGCAAAAAAACATATCAGTTGTTATTGAATAGTCAAGTATTCTAATAGAGTTTTAGAAAAAAAAAACGGGGAATTGCTCCTTCATTACATATTGCAGTTATCTTTGGTAATAATTTCGCAATACCCTTCGGAATGGTCATCTAACAAATTATACCAATATAGAGCTATAGTAATTATCTGAAATATAATAATATTTGCCCGTAATTCGCATTGTGCTTTATTGTTTTTAGGGAAAAGTGAAATATATAAATATTTACAATGATGTGTGAATTTTTCACGATATTATCAATTTTTAAGGAAAAGAGATTCCGAAAGTTGAGTGGAATTATATAATGGGAAAAAGTTTCAGAATTGTCGCAGAGAAAACTGACCCAGAGATTCTCAACAGAAATGGGAGAAAAATATTTAATAAAAATAATGGAACGCACAACTCGCTGACCGATGGCGGAAGTGACTCAGATAATTTAAGCGGCGATATCGTAATTTTTCGCAGGAAATGCAGAAAAAAATTGTAGAAAACTTGGAAAAAAACGATGTGACACTTCGCAAAATGCAATCAATTATAGAAAAGATACGCCATTTCTAGTGAATATTTCTCTCCGTGATAATTAATTGCTTGCGATCCATTTAAAAATGTGTCTCATAATTATGAAGGTATCCACGGTAATTAACAATATTTGTTATAATCGCACGATATAATAATGAAGTTAAACAATTGTAGGGCCTATTTAATGCACAACTTGCGTATTTTAGATTAATAAAATTCGATTTGAATTGGAAAACTGTTCAATGGGTACCTATTTTATAGCTCATGCTTATATAGGGCATGAATATAAAAAATGACCTCCGACGAAATGGGTAAATCTTGTATTCCCTGGTGAAACGAAACCGATGTCCTGCGTTAGGAGCAGGAGAAAAATAATGGCCGCCTGTCAAAAAGTCCTGGTTGTTGGGGGTTACAGCCAGGCCACCGACGTGGATAGGGAAAGGAAAGAAAAAAATTTTTTAGTTTAACGTAAAAAATTATGAATAAATGAAATTATGCTATTACCAAGAAAAATTGTGAGCGATTATATTTGCGATCGACGACCCACCAAAAGTAACCAGCCAATGGGCAGGTAAGTAACCCAAAGGTGATTAAAACTACCGGTGATACGATGACATTTTGAACATCGATTTCGTGATAACTGTATTCCTGGAACTGATAAGTGAAGAAACTAGCTGCTGCACAGACAACGACTCCTGACATCTGAAAAATCCATTAATTAATTATCCACGATTCATGTAAATTCTGAATTTTCAATGTATATAACATCAAATATGAGATTTCAAACGAATTCCTAAATTTACTTATTCCTTATTTCCATAAAACTTGATTACTGTTCAGAACACGTTATCAGTGAAATGCATCCGGCATGTGTACAATCAAATTGTTAGAAGCACTCAAACTATGCATTCAAATTTATTCGAAATTTATGGAAAAAATCAAATATTTATCATTTGGCGCCGGGTTCTCATTGGCTCACTCGACAACCTTGGACCAATCAAAAGGTATTTCTATCCAAAGCACTGAACCCTCGCCAAATTAAACGACTAGATGAAGACAACAATCAACCCTAAAATAATTATTTTACTACACTAACCTCTTCGCACGTAAGAAAATTATAACAAAAATTTTAGATAATCTCTCGACTTACTCCAAGTACAATGAAACATCCCAGCATCATGTACCACAGGCATTTGCTGCCGAGAGCCATCGTGGACTTATAAATAAACGCTATTTTCACACTATTATTACAGACGGCAGTCTCCACTTCACGGAATCATTTGAAAATCACCAGAAAATTAATGGAGAGCTCTTACAGTTTATGAACATCTACTGACAATTGGAGATATATTTCCAGGAGATATTCGCTTCTGAACTGCAAAGATTGTTTATCACTCACGTCGAGTCACATTCTGCTTTTGCCTCGCAGACACTACACCGTCTCTTCTTCTCGAAAAAAAAAAAATGATCTGGCGTAGAACTTCGAATGTCACTGAGACTCAATGGGCCATGTATCAACTCGTACTCTGGGTGCTCTAATTATGATATCAAGTTTAATTTCTACGCTTCAGGACTCGTTGCTAATATCTTCTCATTTTTTACGTTTTTTTTGTAATTTTCTGGGAAACCCTAGATAAGATTAACGTGAAAAATACGTTTTAATGTTTTATAGTAATTCCATGGAACAAATTTTCGAGTCGTGCATTTGTTTTTGCCAAATCTCCGTCAATTTGCCTGAATTTTTAAATTAAATTTTTTAAATTAATGAGGACGTACAAAAATTCTTTCAGGGTGACGAAATTTCATGAGACATTGAATAATAAGAAAACTTAAAACGGTATATTTTTTCACGTCAATTTTATCAACCATTTTTAATTTCTCAGAAAAGTGTGAAATGCTAGAAGAACTAGAAGATATCGGCAGTAACTCCTTGAAGTACTTCCAGTTACTTCAGTAATTTTGGAAATATTTGCGAAAAATTAACCGTAGAAATAACCGCTTCGTCACTACATTTAAATTCCCCGCAACATTTTTCGGGGTCAGTGCGCATGCGCACGGTCACGCGGGCATCTTCGGCTTGACGAAATATCCCGATCGTAATGAGAAATACGAATCCTCATAATCAGTTCAAAACCCGGCGTTAGAGGATCGTATGTCTCTTCGGGCAGCTCTGAATATCACAGAATAGTCCTTTGTCTTCGCCAACGAATTTCTCCCTGATTTTTGCAATTCTCCAACGCGAATCCCAGGAATTCAGCATCTGAAAGAAACTCGAAGTAAGTCTTAACGACAATAAAAGGTAACCATTACTTTTTTTCTTGTAACAACTCAAAAATCTTATTCAAAAAATTAAGCAAATTGACGCCATTAATTTATCATTCATTTCTTTCCGCATACAACTAATTTAGGATATGTGGTCTTAGGAATTCTCGGGTTTTCAGTCTTTTAAGATTGTTTCATCGACTTTTATTAGGAAAGCTCTTTACAAATTAAACTCATTAATTAAATATTAGAGAAAAAAATTTTATTTTTTTCCACTCATCTCTTCTGGTTTGAAAATTTATAAATAATTCATGTTCATCAAGTTGCTGGAGGTGATGAAAATCGTTTTAAAATTGCTATAAACATGAATTTTTATTTCGTGAATTTTTACTTTCTTGTTATTTTTCGGTATCGAAATATCCGTTGTCTTTTGTTTACATTTCAACTCCCTTTTGTTTGTGGTTCCAAGGTCTTGGATTTGTTGACATCTGTGTCTTTCACTGATTTAATTCCTTGCTCTTTTATTTCAGTGAATTCACGCCCCAAAATTTTACTCTCAATTTAATTTCCTATTTTTATCAATAGTCATGTCCTATACCTCCAATCGTGCATGAAGAGAATTAATATTATTGTCATTACTTTTCATATATGATATCGAATTATTAATGGATTAAAACTGTTATGTGAGATTCACCAAAAATTAAAAAATAAATAAATAATGTAGAGAAATGGCTAATAATAATGCACATCATCGAATGGGAAAATTTTAATTGAGCTTCGACAATGGTTTTATACTAAAATTTACTACATCATTTAGCAATAAAAAAAAATATTTTTCCATTAATTTGGTATCCAATCTACTAATAATTGAATAATTTTCAAGGAAGCGTTTATTGTTTTTATTTTAAATAGTAATTTTATAGCTTGGAGAGACATTCGACGGTGTTAATAGCTGTTATATAAATTTGAATAAAAATAAATCCAAGTTACCCCGCACTCTCCCACAGCTCTGATGAACGAGAAATGATTGAAACAAATGGAAATTATTAAGTTCACTAGTAATAAAAATTTTAGTAATTAATTTAAGAAGGAAATGGTACCACGTAACGAGCCGCTGGATTTTATGAGTTACGAAGCTAATTTTTCGAGGAATATCTCTGAATCGGAAAAAGGTAGCAAAATTTTTTCAAATTCTTTTTTGTAGGTCTCAATGAACTCTACAAAAAATGTCCCGGTGAAAATTTTGTAATCTCCGTCAGATTAAGAGATATTCCTTGGAAATTCGACAAAGTCGAGGTATTAACATTAATCAGTTTTCAATTGTGTAGTTTGCCTGAGAAATCATCTTGACTGATTTGATATGGATTTTTTCCTAGTGAATGATGTCTTCAGCAACGAGAGGAAGAGGAGCTTCACGTTTTGGGAAACGCGAGGGCTCAGCTCCCAGAGGCAGAAAGCCCCTAAGATCTCGTGATGGCTCGCATTCAAACTCGAGGATAAATGGAAATTCTGATCATCCAGCACGTATTACAGCCCGAGATCAGGCAATCATCGACGAGCCACCGCAGTGGTTTGTTTCGTATATGAATGTTGTAAGTATTCTCCAAATAATCCAAGTGGCAAGTTCAAATTTCTTATAAAAATTATGGAAATTCCACAATCATTTCTGCTGCTCATTACAATGATCAGACAGATCAGAAATTAATAAATACGAGTAGTTATTCCCTCAGAAAAAAGTAATTAGAATATCGAATTGTATTGGAATCGTATTCATAAATTCTATTCTTTTTTCTCTCATTCCAATTATCTCATATTTTTTTTACTGATTAAGAAGACGTTAAAATCCATTTTCGAAGCCCCGATTCAACTGATATTAGCAACAGTTTTTTTTATTTTCCCTAGTATTCATTATTTATCTCTACATATTTAATCTTTCATTCAAACTCCTTGAACAGTACAAAGAAATGATTGTTTAATACTGAATTCCAAAATCACTCTTTGGAAAATGATTTATAGTTCTATTATTATGTTTCACAACATGAATCCAAAATCTTTACTTCTTTATTTTAGTTCAAGAAAGATATGATAACAGACTTGATGAAAGCGCTGGACGATAATGTAGACGACGACGAGAGACAGCGTCGTTACAAAAAGAGTTTCTTCAGGTTGCAGACCCGTTTTCACTCTCTAGAACGCAAAATGGAGCAGCAGAATTACTCCCAAAGGTCTTCAGGTCCCGCTTCATTAATGAATGGCCAGTATCGACCTCCAAATAATTCCAGGCCTCAGGGTAAACCCCAAAACTCTCGCAGGAACGATGAAGAATCTTATCCTGTCAATAACCAGTCCAACCCTTCCTCATCCCTGCCAGAATCAGCTCAGGAAAATAAAAGTGAAGATAGGAACTTCAGAGAGCCACAGAAAAAGGACAAATCCCCTGAAATCTCAGAGAAAACTGATGAAAAAGATGAAGAGAAAATTCCTACGGAAACTCCCAAGGTCAGTATAAAATTAACAAAATATTTTCTTTGATTTTTTATCACGATCGAAATATTTCACAACGCTACAGGATTTACAATAAAATAATTTAGGCAATTCACAAATTTTATTGTTATTTGTCACGTAGGATCAGGAGAAATTAGCTGAGTCTCGAGAAGGCCCTCATGACCTTTCCATGAAGACTAACCTTCCAGGAGAAGAAAGCAAGGATCACTCCCTCTCCAAAAAAATTAGGAGCATCTTAAACAAGCTGACTCTCGCAAATTTCCAGAATCTTTTAGAACAGATGAAGAACTTGAACATCCAGAGTCAAGATGATGAAAATGAGATCATCAAGCAATTCTTCGAGAAAGCTATTGACGAGCCCATGTATTCAAGGACTTACGCTCTGCTCTGCAAACAGTTCGTTTTGGCTCAGCCCAATATTTTTCATCTCCGTTCGTTGATTCTCTCCAGATGTGAATCTGAATTCGATAAACATGAGGCTCTGGACATTCTCAAATTGAAGAAACTCGAGGAGCTCGAGAAAACTATTGATGAATCCTCGAGAAAGCTCCTGGAAGAAGAATTAAAACGAATGAGCGAGGATAATCCCAAAGAATTCATGGGTGACATTCTGTTCATTGGCGAGCTTTACAACGAAGATCTACTCTCCAATAGTTTTTTACATAAAATCATTCAGCATCTGTTGCTGAGGATCAATGAGACTGACCTGGAATACCTCTGCAAACTGTTGGAAATCACAGGAAAGAATTTTCAATTCAGGGATGATGATCAGTCGATTTATTATGATAGACTCTCTGAAATATCTCTGAAGGAGGGACTGAGCACACGAATCAAATTTATGATTGAAGACATTCTCAGCGTTAGGTCAAAGGGCTGGGATAGCAAGAGGGATGATGAAGAGGATCATCTGATGCAGATCTTCAGTTTCTCGAAAGTCTTGGATAACTCCTACAGCAATAACCAATCTGAGAACTTCATGGAGGCCTTCTACAAAGAGATTCAGCCTCAATTCAATTTATTCGAGTCCGCCAATTTCACGAGAGAACTTCTAAACTCTGCTATTGAAAGGATTAAGCTCATGAATGAGTACTTCGAGGTCTTCAAGAGAGATTCTGCAAATAAAATTATTGAATGGGTCGGGGGTGATCTTGTGTTCCTGGATATTGTCATGAGGGAATTAAAATTGCTGTTTGGAGATTTCGAGGAGATCTTCACACAGATACCTAATGTCTGGAAGTGTTTGATCACTTTCTTGCAGAAATTAATTGGAGAATGGCACATGGAGCTTGGTCCTAGGAAAATCCTTGATCTATTGGAAACACTGAAGGATGAAAAACTCAGAAGGGACTTTGCTCAGATTCTGATCACAGGATTGCAGGAGAAAATGAAGACAGAATTGGAGCTCTGGATGGATAAGGGAGGAGTCAACATTGTGGATTTCGTTAGTGTTCAAGAGGAAGTTGAACAGGAAGATGAGAAGAAAGAAGAGGGAAAGAAAGAGTCAGTGAAGGAAGTTGAGATTTCATAAAAAGTAACACGTTCTTTTCTTTTATGTCATTGAATTCAACGCAACATTTCTTTCTTCTATTTTTTTTAATTCTTTTTTTTCGAAGTGAAACTATTCAAACCTCATTCGTTACTTTTTCCACATTCTTCATTGAGTTATTCCTTATTATTATGAACAATATTTTTTTATCGAAAATAATGTAGGTTGAACCTATTAATAAAATGAGTTTTGTTATCTTTCGTGTTCTGATTTTTTTTCAGGTTTTTCGAAAATTTTCAGGATGATTTATAATTTTTTTTAATGGAAAATTGAAATTGGGGACTGATTCAAAGTACAATTTTTTTTATTCTCACATTACAATTACAAAGGGCATGCGACTAGCACATGCAATTACATAGAAACATTCAGATATTTTATTTTGTGGATTAATAAAAATAGAAAATTCCGGAGTAATTATAGAATTCACGAAGTCTTATCCTCTAGCTTTTTTCGTTTTTCTAATAATCGTATTATTTTTTAAATAAATATAGAGGCCGTATTGGGTTAATTCGATTTCTAAAATCACTTTGAAAACTCGATCAGTCGTTGAAATATGAATGGAATTTGCCAAATTTTGGAAGGCGATGGTTTTGAGACTCCAATCTACTCTGAACTAATTTAATTGCATTCAATCAATTCAATGTGTACGTGCCAAACGAAAATTCAAGTTGTACTGTCGAGAAATTTGGAATTTCCAGTATTTTTCTTTTAATTAAAAAAACTCTTAGCTTTTTTTCTAAACAACAATCAAAGCTCTCTGTTAATTAATTTCCGCTGATTGTTTGGGTTTTTGGATTACAATTGTGAGTACCGAAAAGCGACAATCTACAGTGGAATCTCCTTTGCTGGAAACACACTTGCTCCCGAGACGTTTCTTCATATCTTCTCTGCATTCTTTCTGGATATCCTTTGGCATTTGACTTACACATGGATTAACAGCCATCACCAGATCTACAATGAAAAATACTTGAGTTTCGAATCTTCAGGTCTATCTATCATTAGTAAAAAGAAACATTCATTGTTCGAAAGAGTGAGAATTTGTGGAAAAATTTTAGTGATTATTTCTGGGTTTCGTGGTCACGTGACATCTTTTGAAGAAACCGATCGTTCATTCATTCTTCTGCAGAAAGACATTATTAGGCGAAAATATCTCAGTTTTTTTCCAATTTCCGGTAAATTTTGTGAACTTGTACAAAAATTTACTGAGAAAGTAGGAAGTCTTCCACAGTGATGAAACTCCACGACATTGAATAATAATTCACATCAATTTCATCGACCGCTTCTCAGAAAATTGTAAAAAAAAATTGAAAAATGAAAAAATTTTGATTTGCAACAATCCTCTTTTCATTTATGATTTTCTCGTCGTAGTGTCCAAAATTCAACGTTTTGTAATAAAATCTAGAGGGAAAAAATTCTTAACATGTTTTTTTCTCTGTACAAAGATTATAGCATTTTTTGGTAATCCTAAAACGTTCTCAATATATTAATTCCACGGAGGCGACTTACCAACTAGAGTGTCCAAACTTGGATACGTGAACGTTTCCCATTTGTTAACACAGTATTCTACTTTGAAATTAGCGGCAAGTAGATCCTTCTTCATCATCTCGTCAGCATCAGCACGACCCTGGTGAGGAGGTGTCCACTTATCTGAATTCTGAAAAAATTTGAACATTCAAATGAACTTTCATAAAAGAGGAAAGGCACATCATCGGATACTTTCCGCTAGTTTCGTTGTTTAAGAACGATTGTCTCAAATTTTATACGTTAAAAATCCTGAGTGCCAAAAAGAAGAGGTTTTTCTTCCCATCCTGACACATTTATTGCTAAATAGGGAAGTTTGATAAAAATATCAGATTAATTTTAAAGCACGAGTGAAATTTGACGGACTATTTTTCCAATCGGATTTTAACCGAAAAACAGGGCAGTGAAAGTAATTTCACAATGGAAATAAAATTATTTGAGAAGAATTTTATAAATAATTAAATAAGAGTCTGCACGAGCTTTTTCCTCAACTCATGCGTTTTATTTTTCCCCCAAAACCACTCATTTTGCGATTACGATTATAATAACCGACATATCTATCACACAGAATATTCACCGCGAAATTCATTGAAAGATGAGAAACATTTAAAAAGCCATGATGAATTTCCAAAATAATACAATTGGACATGCTCGAATGCTGCGCTCTGATCGGCCTAAGTACGAGTTTAAAAAATAATCCGATGAATATTACCTGCATGTATGGTGCAAATCTTGGATCCTTTTCCTGTTCCGGATACATCTCGTATATCATGTGATGGGAAATGGTTAGAATAATGGCTTTACCCCCAGGTCGAAGGAGTTGGTGGATGTTCTGTAATGCTTGCTTCGTATTCTTACACCAATGGAGGGCATAGAACGAAACTACATGATCAAATTGTTCGATCAATTGTTTTGGCAGCTCAGACGTTTGCATATCTAATTGAACGAATGACAATTTATCAGCCACTGCATAATGCTGTTCTGCATACTCAATCATTGATGGAGATATATCAGCACCTGCAGACAGAATCAATTGATTTATTTAAATAATCATACAAATACCATTGTGGATTCGGTCCGAAGACCACGAAAAAGTTTAAACATCAGGTAAAATGTATAATGAACAATAAATTTGTTGAATTGCCTTATGTGACAAAAATTCTATTATAGGAAATGATTTCTGTCAATTTGCAATATTTACCAACAATGACAGCATCCCTGCCCACACATGGGACTAGTATATCTCTCGTGGTATTTCCAGGACCACAGCCAATATCGATAATGTGACCATTCATGTTCCTGAACTCTTCAGAAAATTGGCCGATCAGTTCCAATATATTACGAATTTGGGTAGCATTTGTTGCTGCGTATTCTTTCGGTTGATTCATGACTGAATAATTAGTTTCTGTTGTCTCAATGAACCTCAATATCCTCCTCCTTTCCTTACTGATCTTATTCCGTTGAACAATCTAAATATTATTGTACCTGAAAAATCAAAATGTGATACATCGCTGTTGATGATAATTGTATCATTATGTGGCCGGTCATATGAAAAGAGTCCACTTTGCCGATCCTAGTTTCTCAGATATTGGCATTTTTCTGAAAAAGCTAAAAATTATTTTTTTTTATTGTCTCAGGCTTAACTAGACCGCTTTCTGCGAAATGACACGCCTTGAATCTTATCAACTCATCTAGAAATTGAGAAATTTATGCTAGAATGTCACTTATCGTCGAGGATGTGAATAAATTGGAAAATTCTTCGGCGTTACTTCATTTATTTGTCCTCATTGGACATTTCCTTACTTGGAATTATATTTACCAAACAAAATAACTAATGATTATTGGAACCTTAATTTAGCTTTCGAAATAGCTCGCTTATTGCGAGTATTTACGCTATTGTTATTATTATTATTGAAAGAAGATGTTATTCTGAGTATAAAAAAGTAGCCATGGAATTTTGAGCAGATCATGGTGATCCCTGGGGTCGATTGCGTTTCAATTAATTTTGATTTTTCATCTCTGAAAAAATTCAACATGGGTTGGTTGGTTGATCGACCGAAAATTCCCATGGATCTCCTCTTAGTGAGAGCATTCCCAGAACATCGCCATTACATTAAGGCTCGGGTGGATTATCTAGAAAAGATCATTTACTCCGAAATTCGGATTCCTAATTACTTTGGTAATTAATCGTTTTTTTCAATAATTGTTAGCTAGCGTTCTAGCGGTTGTCAACAACTAGGCCGCTAGCTAACAATTATCGGAAAAAACGATTAATTGACGGAGTAATTGGAAGTCCCAATTTTGGAGTAAATTATCTTTTCCAGACAGTCCATCTGGGCCTTAAATAAACATCCCCAAAACGTCGAACAAATATCTCCCCTTCGTTATAGTAACGAATTAGGGAAAGCCATGCGTTATCGGTGGTACACCTAAATTCCCTTTAATTTCCTTCAAATTTATGTCAGGATTTAATATCTTGTCCTTGAACTTTTTGTTGTTATTGAACGATTCGGTCACATTTACCTCATAATATCGCACAAAATATGGGGAATCCTACAAAGTCGTTTCAATAAATAGAAAGCAATTTATCTTGTCTGAATTATTATATAGCCAACGATACGATTAACGAACAAATTTACACCGTCGAGGAAGAAAAATATTTGTGGAGAAATTGTCCAGTGATTCCCGTATATCGACGATTTTTGCTCGGAGGGTTTAGAAGTTCGAAAAATGTCTTTTGGTTCAACTCTTAGATGGATGCCAAATAAATTTGATGTTATACTGGGAATTTTATCGAATTGATCAACTCAAATAACTCAAAGAGAATATGAGCCCCAAAAAATGCCTAAAAATATATCGAATTTTATGAATAATTTTTGTTTCTGTACAAATTTGATTTGAATTAAGATAAGAATTTTTAAGTGGTATACATGTGGTAGTTCATGCATGAGGTGAGGAATTTTTGGTCTCAATATAATTTTGAATTCGACGCCCTCGACCTTCACCAAATCGTATCCAACGACAAAAGGACGAGTTGATTAAACTTTTAATATTGCCCGCGGAAACCTGGAATTTTTGCATGAATCTTGGTGGCGATAATGAGGAAAGTTCATTAACAAACGTCAACGTCATAAACCAATAATTAAACGTCGAGTAAGAGTTCCAGACATCATGGAGACAATACTGTTGGAATATTACCGTTGAAATTGCAAGAAACCAACGAGTAAGTGGAAATTACGGAAATTTTTCATTGACAGATAAATTAATTTGAATTATCTCGTAATTGTCAACTTTCAGGTCTATGTGAACTTAAAAAAATTTGAGAACATTGACATTTTAAGATTTAAATTCTGAATTATGAATTTGCAATCTACTAGTTTTAATGGTGAATTTAATTGAACAATAAATTATAATTTCAGATTGAAATCCCAATTTTCCCGGATTTTAAAGATAAATTACAAATTTACTAATCGTTTTTAATTGGAATTGAATTCAAACTCGCAGTATTGAAAATTTGGATTACTTTTGTGATTGCAACAAATTCTCAACAGTGTAGATCGTAATGAATCCCGTGAAGATTCTCTAAGTACATGCGCCAAAAAACAGAGACAAAACATAAATATTATAATCTATTCAATTGAGTTTACAATTATTTACCGTGACGAAGAGCACTTTGCAGTCTTCTTGTAAGGGAAGATAAGTGAAATTTGATTCTTCGATAACCTAGAAGGATTTGTGACTAGCTCTCTCAGAGACCAGGCAGAAACTGAGAAGAAAGTCGATAAATTTTATTCAAACCAGAATTAATAATCACAGGTTTATCTAGATTTGGTTCCTTAATGTTTACATGAAGGGATTAGCCGCAGACTTCTGTCTCCAGTGATACGGTGTACCATGGACTCTCGAAATAATTATTCGACGTCGTCGCAAGTTGAGGTGATGATTTTCAAAGGAAGGGAAAATAGAAGATAATCTTTGAAATCGATAAAATCGTCCATCACTTTGTATTGTTCCTTGTTTATACTTGACCCTGAGAAAAGAAATATATTTTTGTCATAAATCCGTTTACTCAAGAAAAATATTTAATCATCTATTGGACGGAAAAAAATAAATACTAATCAAGTACATTTTATAAAAAAAATGATTTTATATTATAAAATTATTTCATTGATCAATTATAAAATATCTTTTTTTAAATAATTGAATCAGGTATATTTCATAATTAATTTAAGTACATATACATTGTCATAGATCATTATTATACTTGCTTCGAGTATTTTTTTTTACGTGTATACAGTATTTCTCTAGTTGATTCATTTCCAAGGCATCTCCATGAGTTTTCAATTACCAAAATTATGGCGTCCTATTATCCCTCCGAGATTATCCCTTCAATTACATAGCTCTCTGAGAATTTCCTCCATAATTAGTAAATTTTTAAAAACTTGTAAATTTTTCAAATAAAGATATTCGAAATTAAGGGCTGCCAGAGGAGTTCACCCAAGATCATCAAGAGGTTCTGCGTATAATCCTCAAGAACAAAATCATCATGATAATTAAAAACCAATGAACATAATCCGTAGGCGAAACATAAATGATAATAATATTCACTGAAAAAACGCTCCTTCATTTGTTTGCAATGGACTTATCGGTAAATATCCGATAATTTCGAAGCTCTCGTGGTATTAAGTGAAAAAAAAACTGTGGCCGTTTTGTAACTTCCCGCCTTTCACCATTCTCCTGCCATTTTGTTATTTTCCCCCACTTTTTCTCCCGTGTCTTCCGTGTCATCCATCTGAACCTCAAAACTACTGCCAAACAACAATGATTTGTCAATCCTAAGCCAAAATTAATAGAAATTAAAGTCAGTACCAACTCAGTGGGTTCTCAGGTGAGTTTTACTTAATTTCCCCACGATTTTAACCCTCCAATGGCCCTTGACATTCTCAAACAACTTCGAAAATACATGAAACGTAAGCATTAACCTGTCTACGTGTCACAAGTCACGATAAACCCAGTCATTTGCATTAACAATCTGTGTATATCAGACAAAGCATAAGAAACTAATTGTCATTAATTTCACTTCCTCATGTTACGTAATTGTCATTTATAGCTTCTAGTTCACATTGATTTAAATAATATTGGTATCTAGAGACAAACTATCCTCTCTAACTACCTTTTCGATAGGAATTTTCCTCTTGAGAAAGATGATATCAACGAAAAATGGAGAAAATTCCAATAACTCTGCAAAAACGGAAACAAATCAGACACAACTGATATCATATTGAAGAGCAAGACATGTTCTTTAAATTGATGAATATCTATTTTGAGTCATTTGGTTTGCAAATATAAAAAAATTGAATCTGAGTTGAAGTAGCGGTAGAACATGAAAATCACATTTTTACATATTTTTTTATAGCTTATCTAATGAGCTATCAAATAAATATATAATATATTATACTTCAATTCGAAAGGAAGAGAGGAATTATCCCGAAAACCAAAGAAAGAGTGAGCATTACGGGCAGGGATAATTTATTTATGAATTCTTTATCTTATCAATTATGAATTAATTTTAAATTCCGAATTCTTTTGCAGACTCGTTCCAGTGTTCTTCACACTCATTAGATGGCAAGATAACACCGCAACCGTGAAAAATGTGTGAGAACATGAACAACAATCCCTTCGCCGGTCTCTTTTCAACTTCCACCGAAGAAGATTCTCTCTCCCAATCCCAAAATCTTGAGAGTCCCCCAAATGGCCTAGACCCACCTCCAAGCACCTCAGATCCCTCGTCCCCCCTCGATGAGCACATCCAATCTATCTTCGGCCTTTTATTGAACAAGAGAACCCCAAAACCTGGCCTCCAACTCATCTCAATCGACGCAGAAACGATAGAAGATGGACTTTTCGAACGCCTCACCTTCCCTGATCTTGACTCAAAGCTGGTGCCCCCCTTGGGCACCAAAGGTGTCACACTAGATCCTCACTGGATCCAACGAGAGATCATTTATTATCTGTTCGAGTGCTGGAAGCGACTCCAGGCACTTAAAAGTCAAGATAACGACGGTACGATAATCAGTGATGTGATTCATCTGGAGAACGTCGTCCTGAGATCTGTGGGAACTGCCCTCGAGGATGCAGATATTTATCAAGAACAGGACATCCATAGGCAGTATCTGGAGCTGTTCATGTATTTGTCTGAAGCTTCAGATTCATTGAGACTAGTAACTACTTTCACTGAAAATGTCGTTACGATGATTGTCAACGAAGAGAATAATGATGAGATTCTTCTCGGAGCTTTCGGACCGATATTGAATATTATTCATAAAGTGAGTGATAACTATTGATAGCCAGTTGAAAATAAAAGTAAAAATCACTTGTTATATATTTTTACGCATACAAATATTTATCGAATTTTTGACGTCATAATAGAAAGTAGTGATTGCATGTCGATCTTTTAGACCAGAATTAATTTTATTAATAAGATTAATTTCTAATTAATAATTTACAATAAATAATATAATATAAAAAAATACATCAACAATTAACATAAGAAATTAAAAATCTAACTTCTTGGTGAAAAAATCGCGATAAACAAGAGAATTCGCGATGAAGAATTTTCCGAGATGAAGAACTAAAAATGAAGAAGTTCAAAATTTTAATTCCTAAATTTGCTACAGGGCTTTGAGCAATGACTGACACGTGTGAAGGTTTCAACTGGGAATCTACTGACCAACACAGAGCACCCCAAAATTTCTCCATTTCATTAATTAATATTTTTAATTATTATTTTGATGAATCCTTCGAAAATCTGAAGATGTGACAAAACACTGATTGAAGACTTTTTCAACTCCAATACTTCAGGAGTTATCTTAGAAAAAGATTTAATAGTAAAGATTTTTCAATGAATTTTCATGGATAAAAAAAGAATAGGTCAAGCCGGTGTTTTAAATCATGGATTTCCCTGATTATTCATCCATACAACTTATTATCTTTCCACTTTATAGATTCTCGAAATCACGTAATTGAAGAATTTGATGAGTTAATAATGCCATCTCTTGTTTCCTATCCCATCAGGAGGCAGCTGACTCTAATCTTCTGGTGTTCAGACAGTGTTGGTTCAACGTTCTCCAAATATTTTCAAGCTTTGAACCTCTCGCTAAATTACTCATTCGTATTTGCACACCAACCTACTCTGATCACGGCTCTGCCTTCTCTGACACAGTCTTGGGTGCCCTATTATCTTTGAGCTGCTTATCAAAGAGCTATGGTGGTCCCTATGACTTCTTCAATAAACCAGTGGTCCAAGAGCCTGGCCTTCAAAAGAACATCTGGACTGCCCTGGATGCTCTCAGTGAAAATCTTCAGAAAATTTTTTATTCGTTACTGAAGTGTTCCCCGGAGACGAGACACATGACTCTCAGGTGGATTGCTCAATGTCTCAAGGCAAATTCAGCACGGGGAAAAATTTGGAATACGCAAGGCAGCGTTGGAGGAGTTCTCACTGTTTCTGATGGCTTCATGATGAATTTGGGAAATGTTTTACTGAAACTCTGTGAGCCATTTTGTGGAAAGTAAGTGGAGAGCCAAAATTTGACAACCACAGAAATTTCTTGATTCCAAGAGATCGGCCAAGTTTAAATTGCGCGACAAATTTTGCACATATTTTAGAAATTATTCAAAATTTCATCAAAATGTGTCAAGAAAGTGCAAATGACTAAAAGTCGTCTGAAACGTAAACATTTGTTACTCGCTAAAAACATGGTTAACGTTTTTGTGCACGAATATAGAAACTTTTCACAATTGCCTTCAAATAATCCCCAAAACATTGTCTCCAAAAGTTAATTTCAGATTACTCAAAATCATCTGAATGGTGGAGATATCGTGTTCCCTCGGAAACTGTTTATACAACCTTTCCTCACAAAATTGCAGTTGAATCCGAACCGTGTCTATACAATATTTTAATTACCTGTAAGATTTGAGGGATTTTATCGAAAATTTTCGAATCCACAAGAGATCCAATCCACTATACCGAAATTCCTTTTTTCTGTCATTCTGTTTTACAATATTGTTCTGCAAAATTTTCTTTAAACAAACTCGTGCGTGAAAAAATTTCCTCAATTATTCCACAAGTATTTGACTTTGTTTTCAAATGGTTTTCTTTCCTCAGATACACCGACCCAAAGATCCTGAAGATTGACCCAACCTACTGTGCAGCTGAGCCCCTGAACGAAGAAGATTCAAAAGTACGTGGAGTCCACATGGAAGAAATGAGCAAAGAGACCTGCCTGATCCCAACTTCAGAAAACGAATCAAGACCAGTGGCCGAAACCTTCAGCTTCGTAACCGAGTGTTTCTTCCTCACTCATCGTGCCCTGGATCTGGGATACAGAGTAGTTCTCGATAAATTCATGAAGACAAACCAGGATCTCAACAGAATTCAACAAGTCTACACTGACGCTCAATCCGGGGGCTCATCAGAGGTCCTTGATGTTATAACTCAACGAATGGAGATGGAGATGACAAAGTATATGTCTTTGAGAACTAGTCTGCTTGATCCAGAGATGCTTGGACTCCTCACAAAGTTCCATGCAGCTACTGCTCACTGGCTAATGCAGGTCAACATCAATCCGATCAGCGATGGTCATCAGGGCTCATTTGCACCGGTGAAATCCCTGAAAATCACATTCCCACTCCCGGAGACTGTTCCAGACACTTTGAAATGTATTCCTGAGTTCGTGGTGGAGAATACGGTAGGATTTGTTTGCTTCCTGAAAAGGTTAAATCCGAATACCTTTGAAGAGTACGGGGACAACTTCCTCGACCCCATATTGACAGAAATCGTGGGGCTCATGGAGTCACCGAAGAGGCTCTATAATCCTCACCTGAGAGCTCATTTGGCTGAGGGTCTCGAGGCGCTTTTGCCGACTCAGCAGGATGGAAATAATCATCTGCAAACGAGACTTGGCACATTCCATAGGCAGCAGCTATTTGTTAAACATCCTCATAGAAAAGAAATTGTTGGGAATCTGCTGCAGGTAGAGTTTCCTCTTGAGCATTGCAATAGTCGAAAGATAAAACAGAAATATTTAATGCTTCTTATTATCTTTAGCTTACGGCAATTTTCACAAAGAATTATCTTGATTATTGATATTGTTTCAGGTTTTTGTTAGTATAGAAATGACAGGACAGAGTGTCCAATTTGAACAGAAGTTTAATTATCGTAGACCAATGTACATTGTGATGGATTATTTATGGAAAATCGAGGAGCACAGAGAGAATTTCATGAAATTGGCGGTGGAAGCTGAGGCTAACATGGAGGCAGTTCAGCCCCCACTGTTTCTAAGATTTATTAATTTATTGATGAACGATGCTGTGTTTCTATTGGATGAGGCACTAACTAATATGGCACAGCTGAAGACTATGTTGAGTGCGAGAGAGAATGGGGAGTGGGCTAAATTGCCACAGCATGAGAGGGATCAACAAATTGGATATCTTCAGCACATCGGCACCATTGCACGATTTGATAATATTTTGGGGAGGGAAACCATTGCTACTCTGAAAATCCTCACTTCTGAGATCAAGTCCATCTTCTGTCATAGTACTATGGTGGACCGAATCGCATCTATGTTGAATTATTTATTGCTGCAGCTGGTGGGACCCAATAAGAGGAATTTGAAGGTAATTAAGGATTTATTGATCTAAAAATTGTGGGACGGTGACAGATTCACATATCGATTCCAAAGGCCTGTTTATGCGCCATTTTGGAGACTGTTCTTTGTTTGATTTAGTTGCATTTTTGTAGAGTTATTGAAGTTTTACCATTTTTCACTGTTATGTTATTCTTTTTTGATTTTCAGGTGAAAGACCAGAAGGAATACGAGTTCAACCCAGCAAGTTTAGTGCTGAATATTTGTGAAATTTACATAAATTTGGGGGAAAATGAGAATTTTACACTGGCTGTTTCCCAGGATGGGAGATCCTATCGAGCTTATTTATTCAAATTGGCTAATAGCGTATTGGTTAGAATTGGTGGCGTAGGCATTCTCGGTGATCTCGAGATGTTTTCAAAACGCGTGGGAGCGGCAGCCCACATAAAACGAGAAGAAGAAGAAATATTGAATGACGCACCCGAGGAATTTTTAGATCCAATTATGTCTACTCTAATGACAGATCCCGTGATTCTCCCTTCTTCAAAAATATCAGTGGATCGTCAAACAATAGCGAGACACTTGTTGAGTGATCAAACTGATCCGTTTAATCGTTCACCTCTGACAATGGACCTTGTGAAATCAGACACAGACCTCAAAAATAAAATACAGGAGTGGATTGCATCGAAAAAACAGTCAAGATCGACGTAAGCTTCTTTCTAATGTACAAAGACGACTAGTAAATGCAGTAAGAAATTTTCAAAAAGGAGAATTGACTCCTTAAGTTGTGGCATATTTGAACATACCATTGGTAACTAAATAAAAGACTTGAAGAAAAAATTGACAACCATTCAGTTTCGATTTCAAAATATTTTTCGAATTCCCATAATTAGTCACAGAATGGTTTTATTTTTAAAAATATTTTAAGACTTGTATAAATAAAAAATAAAAATGTAAATCGTTCTTTAAAAACCTTTTAAATAATGCTACTGGAGAAGAGAACGCTGTCGATGCTATTGCCACCATTTTACATTGGGTTTTATATTAGAATTACTAATTTCTTGTTCAAATTTCGAAATATCATGAAACAAATAAGCGAGGGGAAAAATACTGTCCAGAATTACGAAGTGGTGTGATGGACTGGTTCATCTATGTTTAGTAATAAGTATCTATCCGCATAGAAAGGGCCCAAAATCGCGGACTTATGGAGGTTTGAATTTTAATATGCGGAAAACAGAAAGAGAGGGGCCCTGTTTTTTTTTTAATCAAAATAATTCATTTCTAGTTGAGATAATAAATGTCAACACGTCTCATTCGACGCAGGAAATTTTACTTAAATCTGAGATAATTAACAAAAACATAATTTTTATCCCTTTGAGAAAAATGCCAATATCTCGGAAACTAGGATTGACAAATTGGGCCCTTTTCATGCGGACGGCCACATATTGTGAATTTTCAGGGATATCTGAATGTGCCATTGAACGATGAGAAGAATAAAAATAAACAAATTGGGTAATTTTCAATCATCAATTCCCTAATATCAGCAGTTGTAATCAATGTCAATTAATATAAATGAATCGTATATTAGAAGGCTCTCTTTTCATTCTTAAAACATCCAAAAAAATAAACAATTGAGACAAATTAATTATTTATGGGTGTTCAATGGCGCAGTCATTTGAAGAAGAAATTTACCATGCGTTGCTAATGGTGTATGGTTTTATTGAGCGTTTATTTTATTTGACAAATATAAAAATAAAGTCCTGTATAATTCAGTTGGAAAGAAGGGTGTTCTCGCTTTTGAAAAAATTACAGACGTTCATTTACACATTTAGATTCTCTTGACAATGGATTGGCATTCAATTCAATGAAAAATCGAAATAAACAACTTTCTGTAAATTTATTATACGATGATCTAATATCTATATGTACAGTATAAATTGGTTTCAAATCGTTTTGCTTCACGAACTTATAATTGTGGAATATTAAGATTAATTAAGCAACATTTGTGTATCATAAAATTGTGTTGAAAATCTTTTTAAGTAAAGAAAATAATTCGCCGAAAGGAAATAACCGAGTTTTCCTATTCATTTTCTACCTAAATTGATCCATTATAAAAATATATATTGTTTATTGTCGTAGATATATAATTGAAATATTCAATAATAATTTTTGATATGTTGCGTCACCTCTTGGTCTTCGCAAGTGATAAGATTAATTATTTAGGCTATAATGAGCTTTGCAATCTAGTGCATGATAAACAAGTGGGGAATTCCTATTTCATTACATGATGTATAAATATTTTTGTTAATAAATTCATAATATGCTTCCGAACGGTCGATTATAATCATCTTGAAATTTTGATTAAATCTTATTGAAAAAATATTCTCCTCACACATGATCGAATGCATTCGGGACATAACTCAAATACCCAGACCGCAAGACTTGTTACATTCCTAATAATATCGTCATCGTGATCGATAAACAAATCTCTAAACGTTGATAAAACTAATATCTTGTAGTTTTTGAGTACAAATTCAATTTGTTTTTAATACTTAAATGAGAGACTTCTCGAGATTCTGATGGATCTCGAAGAAGTATGGGTTAATCCAAAGCGTCTATCAACTCCTGGAAGTCCTCGATGAACCACAGAGAATTATTCTTCACACTTTCTCTGACAACGTTACCACCGAATCCTGTTTTTCAACAAAAAAAAGATGATTAATTTCCTGTTGGTTGATCAAACATGAAGGCATTTATTTTTCCACTACCGCAACAACTGCCAAGTCTTTAGCCTTTTCCTTCGAAGGGGATTTATTTAAAAAACGATCACGTAATGAAACAAGAGTTTCAATGAAATTGCAATTACCACACAAGGATTTTGGCATTCATTTCAATTTCCAAAATAATTTATAAGCGTTTGTTCATTTATTATAATTGACTTTCCAGGCTGACGATCTCATTAAAAATTATTATTGCTGTTATTAATGATAAAGAATATTTTGCATTTGCACAGAAATTCGTGGATATTTGGAAATCTATTTTAAAATAAATATTTGTACTTATGTTGACGTGAAAGGGGCATTAGTGAGACATGCGGTTTTTTATTTAAATTATGGGTATTTTTTTCTTTTAAACCCTGCAATATATAATGTAAAAGAGACTTAAGTGCTTTGCTTAACTCGAATGAAACTGCCATAATTGTAGAGGTACAATCCTTTCACTTTATAAATTGGTCTGTTCCTTTTATTTCCCCCTGAGTTTTCGTTCGAAATCTGTGCGAATCATGAATATGGGACATACGTTCTTTTTATTTTCAAAAAGAGGTTCTTTAGAGCCCACGTGATTTTACCGTTAATATTTATTTTAAGAAGTATCACGTAATGGAACAGAAAAATTTCAATAATTCATTTCAATAATAATAACAATAATAATATTTCGCAAGCTACGATAATTATAGGGCGTTTCTTTCTGGATTAATTAATTGGATCATTTTTAAAGGTTTTGATAGTTTTTTAATGCTTGGTATTTATTTAATAGGCATCCTTATGGGAATAATGGCAGAAGTACTTTGTAGATTACTTCTTTCAGATCTCTCTGTCCAAAATTTGTTTTAGTGCTGAAAAATTAAGAAAGCTCACCGATAAAAGCTGTGGCTGGTGGAGATGCCTCCATATCTGTGGCTCCATCACCAACGTGAACGATTGTATTGAATCCATGTTTCTCTTGTAATCGTTTGATTACCTGAGCTTTTCCACCACTCCGCGATGTTGGTTCGTTCTCATCAAATCCTGCGTAATCACCTGATCAAAAACAAAAATTCAATTCAAGTCTTCGCTTTCAACTGAAGTACAGATTTTTTAATTATGCAGTTGATTTTATGAATGTTTCATGAATTGGAAAATCAAAAAATCATATTACTAACAAAAAGATTAAACTTATGGTAGGGGACCGATGAGGGAAGTAATTTCAACGGTTCGATATCCTTATTAAAATTTTGAGCGAAGAAATCAGTAATTGTAATAATGGAAGAGTTTCCATTGCCGAAAGATTTTCAATTAATAAATTAATATTATCTTTCATCTCAATAATGTACTTTACCCAAAAAAGAAAAGTAGCATGAGTTTAAAAAAATCTGAATACTAGCCGAGATAATATAAAAAAATATATTAGTATCGATTTCTGTGGAAAAAACGTTTCAAATTCAACAATTTATTTCTCTACGATAATATCTGTCTGTTGTCTTCAAATTTCGCTAAGACTGACAGATCTTTGTCCAGTAATTTACATCCAATTAGATCAATAATTATCGGAATTAGGAAAGATGTAAAAGTGGGAAAAGGAAAAAATTTAGAAAAATTTTCCACGACTTCTGAATTGAAAATATAAAAATCTTCCGGAGAAATTGTTCGAAAGTTCTCGCTAAATTCAATTTCAATTTCAATTTCATGACTACCGCAAAAAAATGAACTATAAGTTTCCGACTAATCTCTGAAATAGCAATAATTAGAACGATGGGAAAATTGTTTGGACTCTTAAGAAATGAGACAGGTCAAGAAACTCAAATGCCTATAAACAACTGTTCATAAATTTCCGCAGATTAATCAGTAATATCGTATCTAGTCACGAAATAGATAACGACCACGATCACAGAAAGTGTTTTCTTATCAAAAGGCACGTGGCCCCGAATTCTCGATACTCCGATAAATTGTGCTCTCCCATTCTAGGAAATTAACCAGATTCTTCAATCAATTTGTGTGATAAAAATAACACAATGATCTGGTACATAAAAGGGGGGATCCCAAAAATATTTGCGTAGAATTTATCAATATGTCGAAATTCAATAGAATCAACATAATTTTTTGCTCCAACAAAAAAAAAATCTCTTAAAAAATTCGACGTCGCCTGCGCGCTAGAATATATTTATCCTCGTTTTTATTTCGTTATAATACTTCATTATTTATAAAGACATTTTTTTTAATTTCTTTTTTCACTGCAATAATTTACTAGTTAATCCATCCATTAATTAGGGAATAATCTATCTATCTAAGCCATTGATTAATTCATCAAACAAAAGCAACGGAGAAATCTTGAAATGTGCGTTAGAAATCGAGAGTTGTTATGTTGGAAAGTCTGTAAGAATAAATATTTAAAAGATAGGAATAAATTTCACTCACCATTAAAATAGAATTTAAGTCTATTTGCGTATATGTGATCCTGGGATATATTTAATCGTCTGGCAACCGGTGATATAAGGCAGCGAAAGCCACCGGAAACTAGGTAAACTTCTTTATTTCTTGCATGAAGCGCATCTATGAGCTCTCTAAAATTCACAAAAAAAAATCAAAAGAGAAATTAGAATACCGCACATTCTTCATTCCAATCGTCGTGAGATTTGATTGAAAACAGCACGAATCTTTTAATTCCCGTGGGATGAAGTTTTAATTGTTATCAATTCCATTTTTTATTGACTCGAAGGTGAAAAAAATTAATTTACTTGATTCCTGGTGTCAGTGTAGGTGGGTAGATCTTGATGAACTCCTTGATCTGCTCCAGACTCGGTTTAATTATGTTTAATCTCACGGTTAATGATTGTTGAAACGTCACATTTCCTTGCATTGCTCTTTTAGTTCTGAAATAATTAAAAAACAATTTTTAAAAACGTCATAAAATAACGAAAATTCTTTCCAGTTGTAAAGCAAATTTCAATGCCATCGATTGAATTACACTCGACAAATGTCGTAAGACCCCAGCAAACATGTTTACAGCGTGCAAAAATATTGGCAATTAATCGATCAATCGAGTGATCTAGAATCTAGATTATAGATAACAGCCAATAGAGACCTCTAACTGTTTTCCTTTGACAGAATGGTACGCTGATGGCCTTTCTACTCTCTAATCTCATTATCTCCCACTCACTTGAAAAAATAAACTAGTAAAAAATGTCCACTTACAATTCACTGACTTCTTTGCCCTTTCCACAAAAATTAGCGAGTTCATCAATGCCCTCTTCCTGAATGACAGTCGAGTCAACGTCAAATGTCACAACATCAGCATTCTTCCACGCGAACTTGACGTGCTCCATTTTATTCATTGTTGAATTATTTTTGGTGCTGTAATTACGCCAGTAATTAATAAAATTAGCCAAATGACGTGATCGTCTCGATGTCGACAGTTGAACTGATACAAAAATTCTATTGCCGGTTGTAAAATAGCGCAAAGCCATCGTATTGCTGTTAAGGAGTGGGAGAACTGTCGATTTCCCCCTCTTCAATTCCACATTGATCACATTTTTATTATCCTTCCTCAATTGTTCCAGCAGACTCAACACATCTGAAATAATACAATGAATTATTACTTTATTTTTTACACAATTGAGTTTATTCTGTCGAAATTATCTGTAGAATTTTTATTCATTAAATCCGTAATTATCGGTGGAGACATACCATCTTATCATTTTAATACTTTCTTTTACTTCCTAGAATGTTCATAATTATTTACAAGCTTGCTGGCTTTTGCTCAGTTGCACTTCAGTTTTTATACTTGAGTTTTTATAAATATAGTGGAGAGAAATAAAAATGTTCAATAGTGCATGAAGGGTTAACGCAACATTACAGAATCATTCGTGACAGCACAAACCATGTGCTCTTGCAAAATAACGATAACTACTCTTCCAGTTTCTTTTTCTTTTTCAATTACTCGTTTCTAATTAGTTTCGACATTTTCCTCATGAATTCTTATCGGCTTGTCCTTTCTATAACTGGCTATTCCCTTGTGATTCCCTGGCAAATCAATTTTTTTCCAGATTTTGTCTAACACTTTTTTATTTATTAAAAAAAAAACGATTTTGTTGTAACCATTTAATCCATAATCTATCAATTTTTTCACTTTAAATTCTGTATATTGAAAAATCATTGGAAAAAAGAACGAACATTTTCAAGAAAAATTGAACGTCTCAGATAACGACTCACGTATCTGTAATTTCGCATAATTCCTGTATTATTTCCGCATTTCTTTGAAAAATGAACATGAAAAATTCATTGTTATTGTTGCTATAACTCCTTTTTCATGCCGATGATCGTCAAATATCGAGAAAAGAATCTTGTGAATAGCTTTGAGTACGCCACAGAAGCAAATCGTCAATGTTATGTGATATTAATAACTAAAAAAATGGCAAATAAAAATATAGAAATTATAAATTTATGTCGTCGATCGCATTTGCACTGTAATTAAAGAAGATGACAACATGTCATCACCAGTCTTCATGTGGGGGCTGAAAGCATCACTTTATCACGAAAACATTCAGATAACTTCTTCACTCACTCTGAATATTTTTTACTCTTTATTATTATCAGTGATTTTTATGAATCTTATCGGGTATTGATTCAACTGCGGGGGGTATATTGATAAAATGGCGTATTGCATGGCATGTGAACCGATAAAAATGTTTCATGTTATTTGTCCAGTGATTACGTCATACCAAGAGGAAGAAGAGTTGAAGGACTGGTTGATAGAGAAGAGGACACGTATATTATCGAACGGAAATGATGGATTCAAGGTCGAGGTCCCTCAATTCAGGGATAACATACTGCTTTGTGTCCTGTCTCTCAAGTTTTCTGGTTTCAAGTACAACTGGCCATTGGAGAGGGGGCATTGAACCATTATGTATGCATTAACCGATTGCGTAACAGAACTCGAGTGTCTGCATGTCTCAGACGTGATAACTATTTTATCAACCGCTAAATATTCAAATTCAGATGTATAGATCCGATAAATATATACTTTACATTCTCCATACTATCCTCCATACGATACAGTTAAATTTTTTAAGTCATTGTTTTTATAAAATATTTTTCTCTGCCTGTTGAAGTGCTAAAGTAGAACAATTCAAATTTTCTCCAGTTTTCTTCAACCACTTCTGTAAATCGCAATTTATTAAACAAATGTGAAGTTGACTTTGAAATCACAAACTTTTTGTAGAAACACATAAAATTTGTCAGTGCCCAAGTAATTTTTTTACTATTTTATTCGAAGGACAGGGGGGGGGGGAGAGAGGTTCTATTATTGAAAAATTCTGCTATAGTCGTTGATAATTGAATAATTTGTGAAAGAACTCCAGATTTATTCTACATTACTCAGCCATTCTCTAGTTATCACCGATAAAAACTAGATTTTAACATGTACTATTATTATTAACGAGACAAAACGCGCGCTCCGCGCGCCGTTTGATTCCGTGGTGTTGATGATGACGTAGCCAATTGACCAATGAGAAATAGGGTTACGAGTGAAAAGTCTTACGCATGAAGTTAGCCGATCTTACTGTCGGCCAACTTAATTTTGGTGTATCAACTTTTATAGATAGGACTCCTGATTTAAGGCCCGGGTGGAGGGATTTTTGCCCGACATGTCCGTAGGGAATTCCCTAGAAAAAACGCGTTTTACGGGTAACTAAATGCCAGCGCCTGTAGGCCTTCAAAAAATATAATGATAGGGTCAATCGACAGATCATCATTTTTGCCGGGCCGGTAATTAGGTCTCAGGGGTGGGAAATTCAGGAATGAACGTGTAAATTACGTTCAAAGAGACCCCCTAGATTTCACCAAGATGGATTCTCCAATGATCGTTTGGGGAAAAATATGGCGGCTCAATCACTGCGGAATAAAAACACTCCCCACAATTTACACATCCACTTCTCACTCGCGACACCCAATTACCGGCCCGTAAACACAATTATTACATTTTTCGCGATTTTTCCCGGAAAGATTCGATGCAC